CAAGCAGCCAGGCAAAGCCCTCTCCATTTCAGCAGTCATCTTACTATGGGACAGAAGCAACTGAAACTCCATTTGCACACACGAAAGGAGGCAAGAAGAGAGAAACAGCCCTCCTCAGAAGTATCAAAATTTCAGGAAGAAGTACACTTCTGTTCAGACAGACCCTGGATTTATTCTTAAGATCGCTGAGGATTGGTGTTGTAGGAATTCTTTTGCTCAGGCCAGGAGAGATGCCCACATTGAAAGCTTGGCTAGGTGACACAGCATGCAGCAAGTGCTTGCTTTGCAGTAATAAAGCCTCTCTCAAAGATTTCTGGAGCTGTCTTGACCAAGTTCATGTTATTCTTTAATGAATGACTTAATAAACTACTAGGGAAAAGTGTTTCTGCTGTTTCCTGTTGGTCCTTTTCTCTTTGCCTATCTATGTCTAGGATCTCGACGAAGACACTAATATATTGCAGTAACTGCCAACAGCCACTCGATGTTATCTCACTTTCTCCTTGCTCCTTCCCGAGGAGTTTCTTTCCCTGGTTTTGATCCAAATTCTACTATTTTCCACACAGTTACAGCAGACTACACAGAGAGGAAAGGAGAAGGAACACCCAGGGGAAAACTGGTGTCAACTTGTAAACCATTGCATGGTCCACATTATAGTGACACGGTTCTCTTTCATTGACCTGGATCTTTAACAGGCTGTTATCAGAAGTGTAGTCTTCCAATGTGTCCTCTCTCCAAAGACAGTTTGTTGAGAAACTTTTCCAAGGACTACTGTTGCTAAACTGTGCCTCTCCTTCAACTGATTCACAAAAGAACAGCCTTTAATATCCCGCATGGTGCAGTGCTGTCTGATCATAGGACACAATGATCCCATCAACTTTCCTCCTCTTGGGCAGGCTCACTTGGGCACCTACTGTCCAGGCTAGGAAAGGTTAATGCAAACATATGTGCTGCTTTCTTGTCCTTTGTGATTCACATCTGGCCATTTTACCAGCACCTACCTGACACCTGGACAAACAGCAGTTACTGGGAGGTACTGAAATCACACAGCTATAATAGAGTAATAGGTGAATTCTTATGTGCCAAGAATGTAATTTGTGATGTTTCTCCACCTGCCACTCACATACACACACTTTGTACATACTTTATGTGACTTCAAAGACTATTTGTCAGACAAGAAAATTACTCAGTTAAAAGGTATTCCTCAAGTCACTTACAATGAATGTAAAGCTTTGGAGAGTATCTTAGGTTTAACAGCAACATATGTTTTTTTTCCTAGGTCTTGGTTGGTGATACTTGCTCCATACAGTTTTACTTAACTAGTGACAAGACTGAAGGCTGTGCTTCATTGATACAAGTCTGTGATTCTCCACTCACAAAAGAGGCTAGTACTTGGATTTCCATAACAAAAAAACACATGTAGATAATGCAGTCAGAGACGTGGTCCCACAGAATGAGTCTGATTCATTCTACCTCACTATAAGAAAGGCTCTGAGGTACTCATAGAAGAGTAACGAAGGTGGTGAAGGGTCTAGAGATGAAGTCTTATGAGGAGCAGCTGAGGGAACTGGGGTTGTATAGCCTGGAGAAAAGGAGGCTGAGGGGAGACCTCATTGCTGAGGTAGAGGTCAGTCTCCCAGTTATCAAGCAACATGACAAGAAGAAATGGTCTTAAGTTGTGTCAGGGGAGGTTTAGATTGGTCATTGGGAAAAATTGGGTTGTCAAGCATTGGAACAGGCTGTCCAAGGAAGTGGTTGAGTTACCATCCCTGGAGGTATTTAGACATGTACATGTGCTGCTTAGGGACATGGTTTAGTGGTGAACTTGGCAGTACTAGGATAATGGTTGGACTCAATGATCTTAAAGGTCTCTTCCAACCTAGAAGATTCTATGATTTTATTCTTTGGCACCAAACTAGCAAAATCATTGTCAAACAGACACAAATCAGTGCTTTGTGACAGGACTTATCCATTTGTTAACTCTAGCAAAATGCCTGGAAAGAGGTAGATACTATTGCAAACTGCATAGGGAGATTCTCTGGGGGACAAGATTCTAGTCGAGGTGGTAGGTCCAGTAACCAAGAGACTAATGGTGAAGATCCACAAGATACTTGCATTGATCCAAGAATGCTGTAAGGTTTCCCACAGTTGGGATCTAGATATCATGATTTTGCAGGTGTTGAATTCAACTGGATAACCAGATGAAAATGAGGATTTGTTTGCGGTTGGTTTGGTTTTCCTTTTTATTTCAGATCACACAGCTGCAGGAGAAATGACAAGAACATATGGCTGGGAGTGGGGAAAAGCAGAAGCTCGTAGTTTGCTCAGGTTTAGCTGTCATGTAAGGCCACAGTCCTTTGGCTCCCAAGCCAGTCATGGATGAGGGCAAGGCTTGAACTTCCCACCCGCTATGTGCAGCCACACTGAGTTTATGCAGTGACTGGCATAAGAGGACCTCATCTCATTTGCTCATATCAATATCAGACAACACCTGGAGCTTGCTTAAAAAGCTAACACTACTACTCAAAACCAGAGTTGCACTGAAGAAATGGGCCGTGACAGCTAATGCATTTCTGCGTAGTTTTGAACCAATTCTGCATGGAATTGTAAATTCTGAGACTGACAGCCCAAAAATATGATAGATTGTTCTGCATTTATTAAGGAATTTACATTCCTTCATGTTTTTAGGCAACTGACTTCACTGTGACAAGCCGGTGAACATTTTAACACAATTGCTCAAGCATCTAAATCCTTCACTAAGTGGGTTCTTAATTTTCATGCACATTAGCATCAGTTCCTTGATTTTACACAAGCTGTGCAGAGAACAGAAAGACACCAGGAAAGAGGAGTTAACACAGCCTACCTCCAACATCTACAACATAAATGCCACCATGTGAGATAGTGACAATCTCTCTGTATTGCCAGTATCTATGTCTCTCTACTTTTGTGGATAGGTGCATCTGAAATATTCTAAACAGTTATTTTATGATAATTCATGCCCTAGAAATCCCTATTTTCCTCCCCTTTAACTGAAGAGGAAGCCAAGGGTGGCAAGACCAGCTGTCTCTGTCTCCTTCTGGACAAAAGAATTCTGTTCCACATATCCAACTACAACAGGCTGCATTTTAAATTTCACACACAAAATATCCTCAGCCCAGTGTCTGCAAACAATAAGTAGTTATAAATTATACCATGTAGCCCAAGAAGTCAGCCAGCCATGAAGCAAAGGCAACCCTCCCTCTACAAATAACAGGGATGACCTTTTCTACAGCAAGATATAATGCACCGCCAATGTTCAACATCTTAAAGTAATTTCTGATCTTTGATAATAGAGTACCCAGGCCTTGGGCCCAGTCTTCAGAAACACTCAAAATGCTGAATTCCTATTGAACAAGTGCTCAGAACTTCACAGAATCAGCAACAACAACTTTCTCAAAGATGTGATGGGCCCTTCATGTTTTTAACTCTTTTGAAGGTACTGAGTACTCATCGCTCTATAACAGCCCAGGTCCAAATCCCAGCTGAATTCCTGACCTTATTCAATGCAGAAGGTAAATTTGTATCTTAGTTATGAAAAATGAGTTTGAGGGCCAAAAGTGTCAACACGGATGCAAAATCTGGTTTTCAAAGTATATATTTTCTTGGTCCTAAAACATGACGTTCATGTCCCATAAGCACTGCTGCTGCCCTCCTGCACAGTCAAGGATATCACCTATCTGCATTTGACTCTCCACTGCTCAGCCAGCACACACCACAGCTACATGGGCTCTGCATGGGAAAATCCACCTTTTGCACATACATACTGCTTGTAACCCATTTGTGCCTCCAAATAAGACAAAAAAAGGGTTTAGTGTTCATTTGGCTATAAACACTATTTTCCATGCGGCATTCTGGTAGCATGACTAGTCCAGGAACAGCACTATATTGTGCTTGACAGCAGCTCATTGGCATTATACCAATGTCAGGTGTATTTGGGAGGAAGTCAGAAACATGCCATTGCTGTGCTTCCAAAACCCTTAAGCCAGAACTTCCACTAGTGCCAAACCATTAGATTACAGCTAAAAAAATCAGCGAAAGCTTCCTCTTTCTCCTCATATTACATCAGGTCATGTGGCATCTATAATTGATCTCTTTTAGTCATTCTTTCCCATCTCCCATTTAGCATCTTCCTCACAAAAAAAACAAACAAGCCAGAACAAAATACAACCATGCTGCATCCAGATCTGCCCCTACCCTGCACAGCACCCGGATAGGCATCCCCTGGGATCAAAACACTGGAGCCAATGGGAGTTTTTCTGTCTGTGCCCAGGAATTTAGAGAAAATGGAAGAACAGACTTACAGCCCATCGGGTCCTCATAGCCAAATGTGTTCCCACATATCCTGGGATGGGAGGATGTCTCTCCTCCCCCCCTTTCAGCAAGGCAGCCAACCTGGAAGGAAGGGGGATGGAAAACTGAATCCCTGATTTAAAATCATTTCAGGCTGAGGTTTTGCCAGAGGAATCGCAGCTGTGACATGCCCACCACTCTAACCATGGTGAATGAATCTGGCCATGAATCGTTAAGCTCCCCAAGCATCCAGCGCTCTCAGCCTGCTACTAATCACTCAGAAATCTGGCTCTCCGCTCTATTTGTCGTAAGAAATTGCCCCAATTCAAAAAGATGATCTGGAAGTTTAATATTAATCAAAACAGAGCATGTACCAGCAGAGATGCAGTTTAAACGTAACTGCAAGATAAAGGAAAATGATTGCGTTCACCAAATTCCACCCTGACATAAGGAAAATGCCTCACCAGTGTCAAGGCATAGCAGGGGCATTAACAAATCACCTCTTCCAAGCCACAGTGGGGGTGGAGCATGTGCAGAAATGGACTTGTGGTATTTTTTCTACCCAAGAGCTTTGTTGGTCCAGCCAAAGCACAAGTGGGCTGCAGCCATCAAGTGCAAACCTGCTCATTCCAGGGTATCTTACCTGACTGCAAATGCTGGATTTGTCTGAGTTATTATCCCTACTACAGTGAGAAATGGGAATTTCAGGGGCATAATTCATCTCACCCTGAGGCAGATGCCTAGAACACATTAAGTGAAACATGTTTAAGGGTTTGGAGATAGGGATGACACCCAGCCATGGGGCTAGAGGTGGGAGCTGGGTGGTAACAGCACCCTGCTTCTCAGCAGGCTGAGATGAGTTGGGGAGCAGTGTCCTTAATTTGTAGTCTGGCAATATGTGAGCAGCTCAGCTCTTTGGAAACCCATTGCCCATTTCCAGCCAAACCTGCTCAGCCCATCTCTAGTTAATTAAGTTCTACTTTAAAACCAATAGCAGCAATGCCGGGCTCTGCAATTGTCCTCCAGTGTCAAAAAAATGATACATGTGTTAATATCCTGCACATTTTAGGCTCCGAGAAGCAAACTGACCCTGTGGAACAGTCATTAGTTGCTTTTTAATTAACCGCTCCACGTTTCCCCCCCAGATCTTGCAACAACTTGCAGAAATGGGGAAGTAAAGCTTCTTAGCAATAGACAGTAGTAGTTGTGTTCATATACCAGAACAACTTTTGTTCTCATGGGTGTTTGTCACGGGGCTGTCTTCCTTTTACCAGTACAAAATCTACATCAAATGGAGTTTTTAAAACAATGTAATGAGACTACTCACCATTAAACTCCCATCTTCATTAGTATCTCATTTCACTGCTGAATTTATATCCCCAAGCATCTTTAATTTATTGATTGTTTCTAGGAGGGTTTTTCTCCTGTGTTATTTTTCTTTCTATTAAGCATCAATTAGTGGAATCTGGGCAATAATTTGTATTCAGGTTCTGACATAGCAGGTTACAGACGTTTAAATGATTTTACTAAGCTGCCACCTGTGATCTCATTGGCAAAATACCAAAAATGAAGTCTCTGCTAAGACACAGGCACCTTTAAGGGCAACACAAGTGCACCGAGCATGCAACTCAGACCCTGTTCCCCCTCTCCTGCCCAGGGTATTGAATGCAGATGATCAGGCAGCAGAAACCCAAACACCACTCAGAGCATCACACACACTACCCATATGTTTACCTCAGCAACCTCTTCCCATGACCCAATCCAAGGCTTATCATTATGGTATAGCATGTGCTGTTGGGAATGAAAACACTTGAAAGACCATGGAAAACCACTGCAAGTTCCTGCTGTGTGCCATTTACTGTCTTAGAGACAAAAAGTGACATGGAAAAGACACAAAAGAGAAACAACTGTCCTGACCCCCACAAGTAACAGCAACCAAGATCAGGACATCTTCAGCATGCATCCCCTCCACAAACTCACAAGACAGCTTTCCTTGCTGCTGCCAATGCACCCTAACTATGTCCCCTCAGAAAGGCAGGAGGTCTGCCATCAGTTTCACAACAAGCAGGATCAGGCCATAGACAGAGCTCTAAGGAGTTCTAAAATACCTAGCTAAATGCAGTAACCATCAAGACCTCATTTGGTCACAGTTCCAGGAACGGATTCAGAGTAGGCAACCAAAAGCACAACACAAATGTCCCCTTTTCTCCCGGAGCTAAATAGCAAAGAATCATACAACGGTTAGAGTTAGAAAGGACCTTAAGATCATCCAGTTCCAACCTCTTGCAATGGGCAGGGACACCTCACACTAAACCACGTCGCCCAAGGCTCTGTCCAACCTGGCCTTGAACACTGCCAGGGATGGAGCATTCACCACTTCTTTGGGCAACCCATTCCAGTGCCTCACCACCCTCACAGTGAAGAACTTCTTCCTTATATCCAATCTGAACTCCTCCTGTTTTAGTTTAAACCCATTACCCCTTGTTCCATCACTACAGTCTCTGATGAAGAGTCCCTCCCCAGCATCCTTGTGACAATAGAAGAAGACAACATTTTGAAAGTGAAAAGCCTGGGAAGAGGCTTAAATGAAAACTTCTTAATGACTGAGGGATTTTTAATTCCCAAAAATTCAGGAACTACCAGCTCCTCAGCTCACTGTTGTTCTTCCAGCAGCAATTTGTTTGGGCCAAATCTTGCCTTACTACAAAGTAGAGCTAATCTTATGTTGTCCTTGGTTGCACAGTCTTCCTTTTCTGTTGAACTGAGGTGAACAGCAGCATGGGCAAAATAAAAAAGAGAATAAAACCCCTTGATGAAAAACACTCCACTAAACATTAATATTACCATCACATATACAGCTTAAAAACCAACTTACTACACGTTCACTGAGTCCATGCCCTCTGCTACCTAACACCACGCTCTCTTACTTCCCTCTGAAAAGATGGGAATGGGACACCCCTATCACTCCAAGCCTACCTCATTAGGCCCAGCAGGTATTTCTAGTTTCTTCCTGATCACCATTTCAGAGCCTGCTGGGAACAGAGCAAATAACTCTGGTAACAGCCTTAATTACAGCCTCCTGGCAATGCCTTCTGCTGGCTCTGTCAGAGGGGAGCTGCCCCGGATGTGGGAAACATCACTCAGGGTAGATGTGCAGCCTGTTTAGAACAAGAGGTTGCTCTGAGTCAGAATATAAGTGGGGAAAAAATCAATTTGGAAATAGAGGCTGTTCACAAGTAACACCTGAAAGGTCTTATAATAGAGTATTACTTGCACCCACTCTTATCTGAATCAATTCTTAACCCCTGCCCTGGAAGGGGAGGCTCTGGTGCAACCCATTACCTCAGAAAGTCACCCTCAGCACATTCCCACTCGGCCATATGACAGCTCTGTACCCACAGCCATGCCTGTGTTTGCCATACCATTGCTTAAGCAAATCTCCCTGGAGCTGTGCAGGGATAGAGACAGGTGTTCATCGACAATGAAACACACAGTCCCAATCTAAATGTGCACAGCTACACAGCCACAGCTATATCACATCATGGAGAAATACACATCCACAGGGACTATAAGGTTTCTATATTCCCTCTTCCCTCCTTTCCCCATTCCCCCCTCAGCTAAATCAGAACCAGAGTGGCATTTAATCATGCGCTGGAGCCATCAGTGGCATAAACCAGTACAACCTGCACTGCTGTGGTATGGTTCTGGCTTCAGGGACTGGAGTGGTTCAGAAACACAGGAGTGTCTCTCTCTGACAGCTTTCAAGCCCAGTGTTGATCAGAAAAGGCCCATGAAATTGAGGAGAAGTTCAAGGAGATCCCCACCCTGCGTATTGCATGTCCTCCTCTGCTGGAAGATGTTTTACACCAATCATGTTGTAAACAACTTATGGGCTGAAGTAGCACCCACCCAAAAGAATTGAGGAGCCTCAAATATAGAGCTATGAAACCTTGACCCCAGAAGACCAGCAAAAGAAAGCATAAAACCACTCAGTTTCCTGCCAATAACCTTAGAGAGCAGCCCTGCAAAGCTTGACTTGTTAACAGTACACACAAAGCATCGCTCGAGGTTAGATATGACCCCTGGGAAAGGAACATGTCAAAGTGCTGCAGCAGCCTGCAACATTCCCATTTCCAGTTCACAAATCCCAAGGAGCTGCCAGAAATAAAGTGCTCAGCGGGCCCTAAGGCATCAAACCAAGCCCTCACTCCCTAGCAGGAACAGTACAGATTATGCTTTAAGTGAGCATGGCTAGATGGAGAAGAAAAAAATACCAGGAAGTGTTTTGATGAGTTTCTATGAACTTGAAAAATCCTATCATTGGCTATAAAGTCACCGAGGAGATTGCGAGTGGTGATTGTGTGGCTCTACAAGGTAATTTATCTCCCTGACCAGTATTTCGCAAACCGTCTCCTGAGCTGCCCTTTGTTAAAACTAAAGATATACAGACACTTGTAAACCTTATCGAGGGGAAAACAACTCTGATAATTTTACACATTTAAATGAGAGCCAGGGTCTGAGCTTTTCCAGGGAATGAAAACGTCAGCTCTGCTGCTGGAGTCCAGTCACCCACGGAAGGGGGGCCGGGAACGGCAAAGCTGAAAAGTGACTTAAAAAATGATGCATGTGGCTGCTCCTGCTACTCCCAATTGTAGCAGGAAGCTGTTTACGACAGTGCTAATTTTCTCAAGAACTTTGCTAAGGCATGCATCCAAAAATACACATTATTGTTTTCTTCTGCAGCGTTTCTCCAAGCATCGGACTCCACAGTCATCTGTGTCAGGGGAAAGCAGTAAAGGAGTTAGTGACCTTTCAGGGGGAAAAAAAAAGGTTGTTTTATTCAGTGTCAGATGTAAACTGTTCTTCAAAATCAGACTTCACCTTCTAATTACTACTTACTTCCAGGAACAGCAATTGAATCTTTGTGATGTTACATATAAATAAGGAACGTGGTTTCAACTCACATACAATTGAAATAAAAAGCCAGGATTCAAATTCAAAGGCCCAGCATCCTCCCAGCTCCAAAGGGCAGAAACTTTCCTAGATTAGTTGGCAGAAAGTTGGGGTAATCTCACAAGTTCAAAATGTTCTTGTGGAATTTCTATTCAATTGGGCACATCTGAACTGGAACCAGAAAATAGTCTTGGTAACCAACCTGGAACTGGATCAATAGAAAGTGAGGCCAATCTGAAGATTAGACTCTGAAACTCCTTAAATTTGAGAGACATTAGGTAACACTTTGAAATAACACGGAGCAAGGGAATGATAGGACACGTAACAAAGCAGTGCCAGAGCCTGCTCACACAAGCAGCCTTGCACTAATGCAATAGCACCAGAGAGGCTCAAGCCAGGGAAGGGGGGTTTTGCTCTTACATTTTGTAGGATTGTGAACTGGAATGGTTGGGGACTGCTGCAACAGTGGAGAATGATTAATTTAATCATAGTAAATAATGCCATATTACACACAGGAGCCATAGGATACACAACAGGTCTTTCAGCACAG